CTAATTATCAGTCTTTTTGTCTGCTTCTATTTTCTGCGTCTAACATCAGAATCTATGCCACAGAAATATGAACCTAAATATTTAGCGTGGCCGGTTTTGTTTACCAGTTCGTCAATACGGCATTCGTGGAATGTCTGATTTTTATTGGATGGGTGGTGGTTTTCCGAGATACATGTAATTATTTACCATTAATTAAATCAAAACTTTTACGGTTTGTTTCATTTCCAAAAACAGTTTTCAGGAATGAAATTCTCTCTCTCTCTCTCTCTCTCTCTCTCGTATACCGTGATTTAGACATCTAGAAATACATATAAATGAATTATTACAACTATTTCATTTCACTCTTTAATAACAACTTTACTCCAACCGTATCAGAATAAAGTGAGAAATGAAAAAATAATGTAATATACATATATACAAGCAGTGGATATTAAACTGCAATTAATTGGCTTTTAAAAGCTATAATACAATTAAAGAAACTTGGTACATCATTCTTTTAATATTATATATAAAACATAAAAACATTTCAAATGTTGGATCTACAGTTGTCTCATTTTTTTAATATGCTAAAATGCATCAGTATATCTCAAATTTTCAATTACAGGTCACTGGATCATTCTCTTTAAAGTAATTCAGCTGAATTTATTTTGTAGATAAGGTAAAATAAAATACTGATAAAACTGTATGCCTCAATAATACTGATAAAAAAAAATTACAATTTCGAACAAGGCAAAATGTAGGAATACATTGCAATGCTTAATATCCAATGGTATGTTATCCTTGAAATCATAAAAAAAACAAAGTAACTAACCAAATGGAAAAAAAATATCTAAAACAAAAATAACGCTTCTCACACTTAAGATAGTAAAGAAAATAATGTCACTCATATCAAAGGTAAAATAAGTGCTGCTAAAATGGCGGCACACATTGTGAAATAACAAATATATCTGAGCATGCGCGAGCTTTGTACATCCTGAGAGAACAGATGTTTGGCACAAATGTAGATATTGACAAAAAAGCGCCTGAAAGATTACTTCACTACAATTGTACGATTGTTCAGATTTTGTTAGCTATATCTACAAATACATGTAAGTCCATGCTAAAAGTAGAAATTTTTTAGACATTCACAATTTTCGGTGAAGAATAAACAAAAACCCTTTATTCAAAACAAACCTTTGTACTTTCGATTGAATAGCTGAATTGGTCTGATCGACTTACTTTTTTTAAGTTAAGAAGAGTACAGTAACTTTCATATCAATTTTGGGGTTTTTACAAGTAATGATGTACGTTTAACAGCTCAATTTTTCAAAAAAAAGTATTGTGAAATATAACCGTTACTCCTTTAAATTGAATTTATTCGCAACATACAGTCATGTAAAATTTCACATTTTGCTCTGATTAGTAATCAGACCTATTTGCAGTAATTGTTTAAGTAGAAATTTATTTTTCCCCAGAAATTACATGTAATAAACGTAGATAATTTGAAATTTTCTTTAACGACACGTGATTTAGTCAAATGCCGGGATATATGAAATATTGCAGCACTTGTTTTGGCTTACAATTTTTTTAATGTAAAATGCAGTATATCTACTTAACACAATTCATAAGTTTTGTTATATATCGAAAGAAACTCCCGATGAATCTTTAAACCATACTCGAAATTGATAGTTTAATGCTATCATATTATTCAATTCTAGTTTAGTTTTTAGAAAATTTGTATTCTGTGATTTTCCCTATCACTGACTACAACATCACCGTTTCCGAGGATTCCAATTCCTTCTAAACCTCTGAATTGTCCATTTTCGCTTCCATAGCTTCCAAACATACAGTAGAATCTTCCATCGCCGTGAAATACTTGGATTCGGTTATTTCCGCTGTCGGCCACAAGAACGAACCCCTGACTGTCTATGGCTATACCTTTCGGAAGTTTCATTTCTCCCTGGCATGTTCCATGAGAACCGAAAGAGAACAGGAAGTCGCCGTACATACTGAAGACCTGTATCCTGTGATTGTTACTGTCAGAAACATAGACTCGATTATCCGGGCTGATTGCAAGATAATGCGGGTTGTCGAAGTGACCGAGTCTGTGGCCCATACTTCCAAACTCACGAACAAAGTGACCGTTGGACTGGAAAACTTGTATTCGGTGGTTTTCTTTGTCACACACGTATATAAATCCCATGTTATCACTAGCTATTCCCCAGGGATACAGAAGTTGCCCTGCCTCAACCCCCTCCTCACCAAACATGAGCTGAAAGTTCCAGTTGTGGTCAAAAATTTGAATTCGATGGTTCATGCGGTCTGTAACAACAATTTGCCCAAAACTATTGACTGCAATTCCTGTTACGGAATCGAACTCCCCGTCTTCGGTTCCATAATTACCAACAGATCTGACAAACTGTCCTGTGTTGTCGAAGACTTGTATGCGGTTGTTGTGACTATCAGCTACTAATATATGGTTCTCTCTTGGTGTAGTAGCAATCCCTCTGGGCCACGTAAACTCCCCGAGGTCGTTACCACGTTGTCCAATCTGTCGAATGGCTCGACCTTTGTTAGTATATTGAATTATAGAGCTGGAAACAACTGTGCTTTCATTTTCATAAAACGTCACCATCGGTCGAGAAAGCAAAAGCTCACCGGAAGTAGACGAATCCGAATCGTCGTCGTCGTCGATGTGAATATTAAATCGTACAGGTGGACGAGACCGTGGACTGGAGCTAAGGGACCTAACTCTGGTAGGACTACTGTTCCGTTCTTCAGGGCTTTCTCTACTGTCCGTTCTATGTCGAGATGGAGACGAATCATTTGCTTCTTCAACAATAGATCTGATACGATTTGCCGTTGCTTGCCGGGTGGAGGCAATTAATGCGCGTGCTTCGTTAAGTCGGTAAAAAGAAGCACCGGTACTTAGACTTCTGAATCTCCTCTCAGATGCAGATAGGGGGTGATGACCTGTATAGGATGGTGCCGAACTTCCTAACAGGGTGGCTAATCTTGTGTCCGATAAATTGTGTCGCCTTCTCTCGTGAAGTGTCATTGACCGCCTTGGAGAGCGGATTCCTTCGCTACTTGTTTCAGATTCGCTATCAAAGTCCCTTATAAACGTGTAATGCGGAGTACCCCAAGAGTTAGAAGCTGCCATGTAAGTAGGAGGTACAGAAACATTTGAAACTGCACCTGAATAAGGTGAAGATGTTAAAGTCCTCGAAGCAGATGTTGGTAAGGTACTCCATGTTGGGTAGGTAGAATCTCTTTCATATCGAGATGATTGAGAATATCTCGTTCCCAAGGGACCTGATAGATCAGTCACGCCAATGCCAGTTGTCGATCTTACATGTCCAGATGAAGAATCAAAAAATGTAGGCTCATCTGGAATTGAGATTGGGGTTGATATTGGAGAATATTCAAGGTCAAACATCGGAGGTTCTGAATACTGATCTGGTAAGTTGTCCTCGTTTATGATGACTGGCAAGTCATCGTCCAAAAGAAGTGGTTGTTGACATATAGAGCTTGCTTGGGGAGTGGTTGACTGTGGAAGACTGTAATTAGAGGCAGACTGTGATGTTGAATGTGGTGAAGCAGCTGAAGCATTTAGCGTTGAGGATGGAGCTGCATAAGTTTTGCCTGCTTGCGAGGTTGAGTGCCGGGGGTAAACAAAAGTTGGGAGCATTGAATGCAAGGGAACGTAACTAGAAGCAGCTTGTGAAGTTGAATAGCGAGGGTAAAGAGTGGTGTGTGCTGTAGTTGAAGGTAGGTAACTAGATGTAGTGTGTGCTGTTGTTGAAGGTACGTAACTGGATGTAATGTTTGGTGTTGGTGCATGAGAAACGACTGTAGGGGAGTTTTCCAAGGAAGAGTCACCAGAAGACTCATCTGTCGTCGAAAATCTCGCTTGTGCTGTGCTTATTTCACCGAAATTTGAAATACAGTTCGAAATCCGCGTTCCATCCATAATAAATTCGATGGATCTTTCCCTGGGAGGCTGATATCTATCAGCATTATAGCTTCGAAGCCTTTCCAAGTGGTGTTCGCTTTGTCGCTTCAAATCCATCACGTCATCATCTGGAAGAACAAGGTACCGTCTTCTGAAAAGCGATTCGTTTGTGTCTACAAAGGATGCTAACATCGCCAATTCCACCTCTATGTTGTCTTTCTGCAGTGTTAAAGATCGTATTTCTGCTTGAAGAAAAGTTTCTGCTTCATTATTTAGCAATCTTTGCCTTGATCTCAAGTCGATGATATAGCGCTCAATGGCCTCGGATATGTCTGATTTCATGGAATCAACTCTTTGGCGCACTGCCTCCATTTTACGTTCAAGATTGCCAGCGATGTCCGTTAGTCTTGGTACCCCTCTTTTGAGTTGCCCCAAGACAAGGGTTACTTCACGCTGTATTTGTTCCATGTGAAGGCTTTTGCATGTTGCACAAATCAATTGATCACAGTGGGAACATCTCATTAGATCCACCTCCCTTGAACAGGCAGGACAGCGCCTTCTCGGTGCTTGTGGAGCATGGGAAATACGGTTTTGAAGTCTAGGATACCTAGGCAAGACCACCTCCTCTTCTTCTTCCTCTTCTTCTAGATCTTCTGCTGCGCAGCATGCTCCATTAGGAATATAAAAGAATTCGTCATTTCCGCTTGCCTCGTTTGCGCTGGCTGGAGCGACTACTTCATCGCTGACGTCACTTGTTGGACGAAGAGCAAGAAAGTTTTGAATTGTTAAATTGTTGGGATAAGCGGAGACTCCCTGGTAAGGTACGATATGTTCCGCACGGCATTCGGGACATTTCAGCGTTCTTGTAAGGCCCCTTACCAACCCTTCTAGGCAAGGGGATTCACAGAATGTATGTTGGCATGGCAACAGTTTAGGATTATTGTACCTATCTAAACATATGGCACACCTGAGAAGCTCCTCGATACGATTAGCAGCATATGTTGCATGTTCAGCCATCTGAGGTTCTGCAGTTACTTTGAATTTATTTGTCTGAAATATAATCAAATACAGATCATTAGGAATTTTCAAAGGTTCCTTGGTTTTGTTTTTATTTGTTTATCCCATGACGGTTATATTATTATTCACAAAAAGCCTGTGTAAAGTAAAAACCAATATTTTATTATTCATGTTTGTAGATGATTACAGTATACTAACCTTGACAGTGTTTACTTTTATATTGTAAAGATGTTAAAAATCCAATACGAAGTCAGAATGGATAATGGATTGAAGTCATGGAAAATCTGAAATAAATTAATAGCATAACTTTAAACAAAAATTCTTTCGAAATCATATTGAAAGATTTATGTCGAAAACATTTTTTTAGCCATGAAAATTAACATAGCATTTACACATCCTTTACAATAAATTATCAGTGCTTCTTGAATGCTACATGAGCTCGATTTAGACTACTTGCCTTTCTTTGATTTAGAAATCTTTAACCATTTAAATGATTTTCTTTTAATCTCATTTTTTTTTTAAATAAATTTTGATTATTACTTAACTTGATTAGTTAAGTGTTTATGGCAAAGTAATAGATTATGTACATTCATCCCAAAAAACGAGCTTTCATAGCATGGTTTCATTCGTTTGCACTATAAAATTCTTAGTCGCTGTAAGAAGCAGACATGGTAGAAACTGACTTCAATGTGGTGTACGTACATATGCCTTTGTTATGTGGCGTGGGTGGTGACTTACAAAGATGTATGACATCCTTTGATCGTTGAAGTGGTTCCAAGAAAAGTACACAGTTGGTTCGGCGGATCTTAAACAAAGCGTTGTCAATGTGTGCATTTGCATATGAGGAATTCTAACCCATTCTTCTGCTAACTTCGATCTACCATGTCTGATGGTAATTTTAAACATTTATAATGCTGAAGATATAATGTTACATAGATCTAAAATTGCTTGTCGTGTCATGCTAATATTTTTGGTTCTTTTTTCTACGATAAGTTTCAAATATAGGTTCATTATTAGTTTGTTTGAAAAAAAAAATCATCAATGACTTTGAAACGATGTTTATATATGCTTGCATATTTAATTGTAAGTACTATATTAAGTTTAGGTTGTCTAAATCAATGTTTGCATTATATATGTATATTTTTTACGCAATCCAGTACATTAAGACGGAATTGTTTAATTATTAGTTGCCAAATTTTGTGCTGGATCGTAAGCAGGTCGAGGGAAATAAAAGAGAGAATGACAACTCGTTATTATTTTTGATCCGCCTGTCAGATAAATTAGATAAGAAAACATAATGAGCCAAAATGACAACAGACAAGTTAAACGCATGCAAAGGGAATGACTCAGATTCACGCATTTGTTCCATGCAAATGTGAACAAAGTATCTGTGATCTAAGCCACATCTAAAAAAAAAAATATAATATAAATAAAAAAATAATTCGCTCTCTTCCGACAAGGGGGGGGGGGGGGTTAAATATGTAGGTAGGTAAATTTTATCTAGAATTAACTTTTTTCAATTTCAGAATTTTTTTCTCTTAGAAAATTACAGAAATGTGATCCTTGTGGATAAATTAATAAACAAGAATTTTAATAGAAATTGAGGTGGTTGAATTGATTTTTTTTAATAGGTACGTACAGCATTCTTTTTTCACATTGTCGCCTTTGAGATACATGTTTCATAACCATGTCTCATTTCTAAAAAAGATGTATCCTAATGTAATTAATACTTATATCTACTTAGAAAGAAAGCCTTCCAATATTATTTTTTTGAATGATGGTGAGACTTTATCAGGTTTATGACTGCATATCATGCGCGGATCTAGAGGGGCGGTCGGGGGGGGGGGCTGACCTCCCCCCCCCCCCCCTGGAATTTGCATAGTTAAAAAAAGTATTAACTGAAGCAAATAAAGAATGACTTTGGACCCCCCCCCCCTAGAAAACGTGGACCCCACCATCACCACCACGAAATAGGTGTTTTTATCGTTTGGGGAAATGCATTTATTTAACGTTTTTTTAGATTTTTTTTTTTTGACTAGGATCCCCCCCCCCCTGGAAAAAATTCCTGGATCCGCGCCTGCATATTGATGCTAAAATGAAGATGAAAGCTACTCGCTCTCCCAGCTTCTGAAGTCTATGTACAGTCCTGCTTAGAAGTTTATGATAAGACCACAAAGGTGATTACTTTTATTTTCATTTTATGTGCTTCTCGTTTCTATTTTCAAAGTTTATTTTTATCTTTTATATATCATATTGTGGTACTTGGCCGCTTAATTGATCGAGCTGCATGACCCCCCCCTCCCGTCCACAAGGAATGCCACGTGTAGAGAATACTTTAGCACTTTGATAAGAAACCTCTAACTTCGATGAACTTTGAAGATGGATTATTTGGCATGCATATTCTAATGCGACTAAAAAACCTGATTTTAAAGAGAAAATAAAAAAAGAGACAAACCTTTGCGTTTTTCAGATTTCGTATTTCCGACCTTCATGGTGAAATTTTCCAACATCTGGCGAAGAAAATCTACATCATCGCACACAGTGAGCTTCTCAAATGCACGCAGACGACCGGAAGATGAAATATATATTTATCCAGATTTTTGGTACAATATAATTTGTTTGTGGTTTTTATCTGTGAACGTCTGCCAGACAGCGAGGAAGTGGCCGCGAGTTCATTGAGATGGCGGCTTGGTGTGTTATACACAGAAGTTTGAGAATGTTTTGTTTTCATTGTAATATATACAAGAGATGATGCTGGCGATGTACTATATATAGAACATGATAAAACCCCTGTCGTGCCATTCTGTTGCAGAGGGTGCACTAAGCCGCAAGCGTGGAATGTTTTCAAGTTAAATATGAAGCAACAGTTCGCATTCTTTGCTAAAAATCATCCCAATCAAGCAACAATATTCTTAAAAAAATTATCTTATGCATGGATATAAAAGAAATGGGTTACACTGTTGCAATGTTTAAGATTAAATATGTTGCATTTTTATCTCAAACCAAAATAATTTTAAGAATTGAAAGATATAATCTCTATATTGACATAAAAAAAATCAACAGAAACATTCACAATTAATTAATCAATTTTATTTATTTCTCTCTAATTTTACATAATCATGATCAGTGCAGAACTCAAACATATTTTTATTTGGCCTAAAAGTTATGTTAGTAAGTGTAGAAGACCGAGAAAAGCGATGTTTAAACAGAATGACATATACTAGTATAAGAGTTATCTTTCGTTATACGCCAGCCTGACCGAAGAACTACATTAACTGGCAAAATTGGAAATATGCAGCTTACGTCATTTCCATCTGTAACAGTCAAAACAATGAAATGGGCGGTTACAATTCGACACGGACGTCCGGGAAAACATTGGATTGAAATTCTAGTTTGAAATTTATTTTCAATCCACCTCAGCTACACTAGAACTCACGGTGTTACTGATTGACCTAGAAGACAAATAAGTTGAAATATATATAAATCAGAATTTCTATCCCATGTTTTTAAAGAAATATAAAGGGACAAATATTTGATTTCTGTTTGGTATGTGTATGTGGGGTCGGGGAGGGGGTGAGGGTGGAGGAGGCTAAACGATCTTGGAAAGGAATAAGAAAGTTTTCTTTTAGTTTGGACATCCCCTCCCTGTTTTTGTTTGTCAAACATTTTTCAGAGAACAAAAAACTAAAAAAATAAGAGCTCTTGTCATCCTAGAAATTAATATATTCTTCATGTGAAGGCATGATCTGACTCGACAATTTTTGACAGTCCCCTTCCCCCCTTCTAGAATCAAATGGCCGTCCCCTGAAAAAAATATTCTTTGTCTTCTATGACTTTGACGCGCCCTTAAAATTATAGGCTAAAAAACTCGTATAAATATGAATTTCAAAAACATGTATTTGGGAATTGAATTTATTTGTCTTTTGGACACACTTAAGGTTTGAAAACAGTTCAGGTGGATTGAAATTGAATTTCAATTTTTTTCAGTGAAGAACAAAATAAATAATCTCTTTTGTCATCCTACAAATAATAAATAAATTCTTTTATGTGAGGCATAGCCATAAATAATCTGATTCGACAAAATTTGCAATTTAAGCCCCCCCCCCCCCTTCTAAAATCAAAAGGCCGTCCCAACTTTTGTGTGTCCTCAAAATATTGGATTGAAAAAATTGTTATACAATAATTTCAAACTATACGTATTTGGGAACTGAAATTATTGGTCGTTTCGATCATACAATTATAACTTTGCGAAAAATAGCTCAGGTGGATTGAAAATGAATTTCGAATTGCAATTTCAATCCAATGTTTTCGCAGACGTCCGTGTCAAATTGTACTCGCCCATTTCATTGTATATCATCAAGTGTTTGACTGCGACATATGGAAATGACGTAAGCTGCATATTTCCAATTTTGCCAGTTAATGTTCCGCGGTCTTAGGACCCCTTACATATCACTCTAAGGGGGTATTTTTATGCATTAGAATGATCTGCCCCTATAAATAGGAATCTTTAAAAGAAAAAAGACCAGTTCAAGTATTCTTAATATTTTATTAAGTCAAGATTTAAAAGAACAGTTTATTTGCATGCACTTTCCCTTTTTAAAAAAGCATACACAGTAATTTCTGTTCATCAATATTCAGTTGTCTTTGAACATTTCTCCTTATATAAATGACTGGTTACCTATGTTGAAAATGAAATAGATAAACACAATATTTCTCTCCAAAAACCAGACTTCCTAAGCTTAAGTTCGTTGTCTCCGAGGAACTCCAACGAGCTCAAATTTTACCGAGACAGTCAAGCTTTGAACGATTCTAAGCTCCGTATGGAATTGTGCTCTCACGTGGTATTGAACTTGACAAAGAAGATTACATGTAGATCTACTAGCGCTATATAGCACGTGTTACGGAATACAACACAAGCAAATCAACACAAATCAAACTTGTTCACGAATAACATAAAACCAAGTTAGAAGAGAGTTTATATTAAAACGAGAGGATCGAGTACAGGTAAGAGTTTTTTTTTCTTCTATTTTCTGTTATGAATTTCATTTCGTACTCTAGTTACCGATTAAATCTTTGTAAAATATAGATTGCATTTTCTGTATTATTACGTTTTCTATTTATCTGTTTAAGAATTGTGGAAATCAAACTATAAACATACTTTTATCAGGTGTAATTAAGTCTTAAAATTTAAGGAAGCTCTGAACCCTAACAAAAAGTGTTTTTTGGACTTGGAGAAAAACATATCATATAAAGGTATATTGAGACTATTTACTTCATTTTTTTCAACAGGGTACCTGCATTATTTCTACAGCAAAAATGTTCAAAGACAAATGGACTATTCGTGAACAGAAATCAATGTTGTTTACTTACATTGGGGAAATGAATCATAAATGGAAATAATGAATTCAATTACTTATTCTTGTTCTAATATAATGCTAAGAATATTTTAAACTATAATAAATTGTGTAATTTAAACTGTAAATAACCATTCATAGGCGTCGGAAGCAAATTGAAAGTGGGGAGGGGGGGGGGCTAATTGAAAAAGAAAAAAATTCAAACCTGGAAAAAAAAATCGAGACAACCGAAACAAAAACAAATTAAAAAAAAATAAACCCCATACTTCTAAGGGCAGATCACTCTAACTGCATAAAACTACCCTACAAGTAGAACTCTTTAGTGTGCAGTGGTTAGAGCTTCCTTAAGCTCTTTAATTTTTTCCCCTTGATATACAAGAGTGTTTGCAGGCCCGTAGCAATGTTTTTTTATTTGATAATAAACAAGTCAAAAAAAGGGGATAGCCTGTTTCACGGGACTCAAATTTTTAAATCTGGAGAAGGGGATTAACACATTTTCATTAATGGAAGAAGTATTGTTGTCACAATTAATGAAATGAGGGGGACACCCGACCTTAGTAAGAGTATTATTAACGACAAAAAACTTTTCTCAGAAAAAGCCCCCTCCCCCCCCCCCCCCCGCTTACTACAGGCATGATATATTCATATAAAAATATATACAATATGAGATTTTTTCTTTAAATAGCATATTTTTTTTTCTTAAGAAGTAATAGATCAATGTGTATATATTCTGAAAAAAAGTTTATATTTTTTTTATTCAGCAGTAAGCATATTATATTAGGCCTTATATGCTTAAAGCACGAAGAGGACTAAGTAAGTATGTAAGCATATTATATAGTTCACTAATTTTTCTTTTAATATATAAATACATTGCTTGTACAGCTAAGGGGGAAGGCAATTAGATATTTAAAATAATTTAAGACCGTCCATTTGCGGATCCAGAGGAGAGGTGACGGGGGTTTAACCCCACTCCCCCGTTTGCATTCGCTAAAAAAAATAAGACAAGACAGAAAGAGAAGACAGTCCAGAATATATGATGTGTTTTTACTGTAGAAAATGTTCAGTGAAAGGCTTTGTACTAAGTTTGTAGTAATGTATGAAGAAAATTCGGTTGTGAAAAAATCCCCCCCCCCCCGAAAAAGGATTTTTGGGTTCGGAGATTTATTTTCCTTTCTTCTTTATCAAAAATTTTAAGCCAATTTAAATTTTATCACCTGGCTGGTCCCCCCTTTCAAAAACGATACTACGTCCCTGTAGTATTCCTATTAAGTTGTCTTTTAACTATATGTAAACGTACATGTAACAACTCTCATTTTCTCTTCAAACCTCCCTTTGAAAAACAAAGTGATGGTGTAAGCCTGTAATGCTAACCTATTTATCTTTGAATGTGTTGAAAATAAATCTGCCGGCTAAAGTCTGTGAAATTTAAGATCTTATCGGCTTACACTTGAGTATAATGCCACTGTTCTACAATCGTAATGATGCAAGTAATAACAATTCACCGCCCTTTAAAAAGTCCACGAATTAGCATGTAATATTAATGAACTGGAAAAAAGAGGTTTGTTTTTTAGATATATTGATTTTCATTGGCTGAAAATAGAAAAATTTACATTTCATTAAACGCTTGCTAAAATAACAAATGTAAAGTTTGATTGTTTTCTGTCTACCTGTGTGCGATCGTTAACTGTGTTTATAATTGTATTGGGTATAAATCGGGGAATTACATTACACGAGAAGGATAGATCAGTAATCATTCTCATATTCCATTAACGGAAAATGTCGTGGAGATTAATGGTGTTGAAAACTGTTAGACTTGTTAAGCTTTTCGTTTGTTTTATCATCTTTCAAACAAAAGGGATTTGGGAAGAAGTGCTTTATATATAGGGTTAAAATTACACCCCAACGTTAAAATTTTTATCTTTTGCTAAAAAAAATAAGTATACCACATGTAATATTCTTTTTGATTTAAAGTCACCTTTTCCTAAATTTCTGTGGTTATACATTGCATGTTTGATGGCTAAATGGAAAAGATCGCAATTTTTTTTTTTTTTCAAATTCTAACGAAAACATACCATGTTTAGTCATGGTAAGGCAATAGTTATTGAAATATTTGGGTAAGAATTTTTTGGTTTGTTGGACCCTCCACAGATCTTCCCCATCTCGTTTTTCATCGCTGTCGACGGACATATAATTCT